GTAACTATTAACTTGGAGTAAATTAGCGTCCTCAGTTACTGCAAAATCGGAGTTTTCGAATGTCTGAAGTTTACCGTTATACGGAAAATGGGTGTAATTTTAGTCCGATATGAATAAATTTCAACGAATTTCTTCCTTGAACTAAGGTTATTAAGTTTGGTAGAAATAGATGAATCAGTTACAGTCAGTGGGCGGCGCCACGCCCATTATCCAAAAATGTATAATAATTTGTGCTAAATGGTTATTGTAATTGATCGATTTTGAGTCAATTAGCTTCAGTAGTTACTGATTTATCGCAGTTTCCTTGTTTCTGTAAATTACCGTTATATGGCAGGTGGGCGTGGTTATTGCCCGATTTCAAATATTTTCAACAGATTTCTTGGCTAAGTTTTTTAGGGATTGGTGGAGCGGCTACNTTTTCTAACTTTTCTTTTCGATGCAGAAATGTAGCTTACATCTCGAGCGCCGATATAAAACCGATTAATACACAATAGCTTTTAATAAAATTCCTTTTCGTCCATTGCCGAAAAATTTTAAATTTTATTTACTTTAATATCATTCCACAAATTCAATCTTCTTCAAATCTCATGAGCTGGTTCCAGCGTATCGAATAAAATGGATAATGCCATAAAGGCTTTCGAAAAGAAGTCCCCAATAACTTAAACGTATTTAAATGTATGAATGTATGTATTTATAACTACTTTTAAGCTAGCCAATAAGCTTAGAATTCATCTGTCGTTAAACGACTGCGCAAACGACGCGAGATCTCATTGTAGTTGCGTTCCTTCCACTGAGCATTGATCTTGATCGTCTCCAAAGCCTGTTGTACACCCTGTTCGACCTTGCGTAGGAGCTGTTTGTTTTCATCGCAGAAATGACGCATCGTCTCGTATTCACGTTGGCTACTCATTTGGCTGGCGATAGGAGAAAATAGACGACGAAGCTCCGAACCGTTGGGTTCATAGCTAAATATTTCAGTGAGAGAGGTAAGAATAAAATATTGCCCTGCTATTGGAAATTTACTCCATCAACACTTACTATTCATGCANGAATAAAGTATTGCCCTGCTATTGGAAATTTACTCCATCAACACTTACTATTCATGCAGGAACTCAATGTTGTTAATTAAATAGTCTCGCGCTAAATGGAAGCCAACTTCTCCACGCGCCACAGCACCGAAAGCAAAGGTGGAATCTTGTCGGCGTATATGTTTGTCGCTGTCGAACGCCCATTCCAGATAACGTTGCAGTAACCAAATTTCGCGTGAGCAACCCAATGCCGAAATGATGGTACGCTTCTCAGCTGCTACATTGGAATTCTTATAGCGTGCCCAAAGGAATTGCCAATCCTCTTCGTTGCCATGACGTATGGACGTACAGTAGACGACCGAGCGCAGATCTTTCGGTACTGGATTGTATTCATCCGGATTAGGCACGGCGCGCCATTGCTTGAAATAATGCTGTGCGCTTGGTATACAGTCTTCAACTTCAAAGCGGCAGGCCCAGCTGGCGATGAGTTCTTTGTGGAGTATGGTGTGCGGTGCGGTGTTGGCTTCAGTGGTCGCATTCAAGCCTCCGAGATAAATGTAAATGGGGGAGAGTATTTTGCGCATGTATTTCTAGAATTGCATTTGTTTTTTTGCGGAGGAAGTAAAAATGAGTTTATAATATTCGTTTTCAGCTGTTTTTTTTTAAATATATTAAATAATTAAATCGATACATTTAGAACTGTGGCCTTTTCTGATTTCTAACCTAAAATTTTTTTTGATCTAACTGACCGGACTGACATTCTAGTCATTCATGAGTTGGTCTCCGTAGCGTTGGTCCAACGTAATCACACTTGTCTAAATATATTTCAAATAGTGCCAAAATTCTGGTGAATAAGTACTCGGAAAACCTAGATCGGCTCAGCACACGAGGAAGTACAAGACTGCGGGAGCTGCGATAAAAGTCGTTGAAGGGGTATTTATATGTATGAAGTTCGAAAGACGATTGTAAGTTTACGTTTGAATACCTCAAAAACTATTATATTTAGTTAAAAAAAATGTTCATAGTCTTATTTTAAAGGTGGTATTTGGGACTATGTAAAAAATTAAAATTCGAAAAATAAAAAATTTAACAGAACGCGAAATAAAAAAAAAAATCGTGAACAAAAATGTATCTTAATAGAAGCTGAATTTTCAGGGTGTTTTTTAAGATATGAATTTTTTAGCTTTGAAAAATATTTTTTTTGTGTAAACTCTTAATAAAATTATGTTAAACAACTTTTATTACATTAAAACTTATTTTTAATATAGAGGATGCAATATCTTTTCAAAATTCAGAAATTCATATCTTTAACAAAGACAAGTACTGTATAAAAAAAAATCCAAACATTTTTATAAGTTCTACGATTTTCAAAATTTAAAAACTCGTTTTTTCGAATTTTAAATAAACTTTTTTTTTTGTATAGCCCCAAATATCATCTTTAAAATGATATCAGAAAGTAAAATTGCAAAATCAGGGAAATTGTGAAATTTTAAACATTCGATAGATTTTTTTCTTTTTCCTTATTCGTAAAACGAATTTCTGACCAAAATGTATCCAAATAAAAAATGTTCGATTCCAATCATTGGTGGATTTGACATGGATTGACCCACTTAGAGGTGGGCGCTGTTAAACTTCATCGATTGTCATAAAATTTTTAACAAGTTTTTTTTTTTAACAAATTTAAAGACCTTCTAATTTAATTCCGATGTCCTAGGCGAAATTTTTTTTTCAAGGCAGCTTATTAGGGACTCTGTGAATACAGAATTTCTCTCAGGTCGCTGTGACTCTAGCTTCTGGCATAAAATTTCTATCGAAATAAAAAATAAGATAAGTAAAATCTTGCATCCGAGGCTTTGCTATTAGTCTTCGCTGGAAGGGTTTTCACGTGGCGTGTCCCAAACCCATCGCACAATCAATAATAAGACAAATCTAGCATCCCCTAATTTTTACTGATTCATTATATCTTCGTCTCCAAATGCAAAGTTCCAAGAGCTTGAAATAAGTGAAAGCGTAGCGATCGCCACAAACTTGAAACACTACCGTTGTTACACTTCCCACATGCTCCTGGATCTCCTTAAACGCTGATTTTTTTCCTGGCGAAAGATTTTCTAAAAAGGTTCTCAATTTCTCTTCTAGTCCAGCTTCCTGTATGTTTGCGTAATTATTTACGTACGTGACACTCATTTCTAAAAGGATAACTCTGTCCTCAAACAGAAGTTTAGCAAATTCTTCTAGTCCTCACTTTTCTTAGAAGTGGTGATCCACTTTTGGAGCCTCTTGACTACACTGGCTAGGCTATTTCATCTATAGCTATTTATGAAAACTACCTACGCAATTGTTATTTCGCTCGGAATATGACTCAAGTTTCGGATAGGCAGATGGCATGAAATGCCTCAAGCCATTGTAAATAGGTCGGACCAATTTGGGAGCTCCTTACATTTAGATACTATTTTTTACTTACATTAAAGAAAATCTATGGAAGCGCATTTCCATTTGGCGAAACGTGTTCGTTTTAACATAGCAGCATTCCGAAATGTTAGAGAAAAACTTACAATCCCACAAATTACAAACCCTTCTCTACATAAAACCCAGCTCACTCACCTTAAAGTACTCATACTCTGGAGTTTGACGCAAAATTCTGTTGACATCCCGCAAATTGTCCAAAGCAGCCTTCCACGGTATATACTCACGTTCGCGCACTAAATATTCAATCAAACGCATAGCGATATCGTAATCCTGATCGCCGGTCCAGGCCAAAGTCAAAGCATCGTCGATGAGATGCGCGCGATTGATCACGTGGATCTTATTGTAATTCTCGCTGGTCAAAGTTTCAATCAGCATATTCCAATTGCGTTCGTCATACTTCACTTTGTACAGACCCGACATTTGAACATTGAAAAGAATCCATTCATTCTGGTTGGGCATATCTTTGAGTGTTTTAGTCAACGGTTCTTGCAATTCGCTACACTGCAGCCAATTTTTCGGTGCAGTAGCGTTGAATTCAGTCTCCGTTTGACTGGTGTAGCTCAATGGCACCCACCAACAGCTGCGTTCGGCATTACGTGAAGCGACTGTGTCAAGCAAGTAACGTATCTGCGTCACTTTAGCCAGATTGCGTTCGTAATCGCGTGTCACTGTAATGATCGGATAACCGGTTTGCAATGTCCACGAATCCATGATGGTTTTAATGTCGAAAGATTTCGGGAGTGTGCGGAATTTATGCGCAGCCTCAGTAAGCGCCGACCAGAGATCGTCTTGCTCTGCATTGCCGTAAGCGTGTTTCTTGAGATAGTAATGCAGACCGGAGCGGAAAGCGTCATCGCCAAGGAAGAGGTGCATCATGCGGAGCACAGTTGAACCCTTTTTGTAGGAAATCGAGTCAAAGATTTCGGCGATTTTGTTGGTGTGATTAATTTCCTGTGAAATCGGATGACTGCTCTTGAGTGCGTCCAACTTGAAGATAGCTAAGGTGTTGTCGACGGACTCCTTTTCCAAACCACGCCATTCCGGATTGATATGCTCGATACCCAAACTGGCGACATAGGTAGCGAAACCTTCATTCAACCACAAATCTTGCCACCATTTCATTGTCACCAAATTGCCAAACCATTGATGGGCCAGTTCGTGTGCAATGACAGAAGCGACACGCTGCTTGCTTTCCAAAGAGGAAACATTCTCGGCATAGAGTAATGCAGTTTCACGATAGGTGACAAGGCCCCAATTCTCCATAGCGCCGGCACTAAAATCTGGTATAGCAATCTCATCGATTTTGTCCAATGGGAATTTTATGTTGAAGATATCTTCGTAGTACTGCAACACTTTTGGTCCGACTTCGGCAGCATAAGTGCACTGGTCGATGGCATCCGGACGTGCCCAGGTGCGGAACTGTACTTTGTTCTTCAAGCTAGTTTCGGAGTTTACATATGCGAAGTCATTGACACTGTAGGCGACCAAGTAGGTTGACATGGGCACCGACTCTTCGAACTCGCTCCACACCCAGTCCTTTTTGTCGGCCCTAAAAGGAAGGAGGAAAGAAATATTTGAATAAAAATCAGTTTTTGGAATTAAACATTTGACTTGCTTACATGGCGCGTGTCTCCTTCAGCGGCATATTACTCAATGCTGTATACCTCTTATTATGTCCGAGTATAACAACAAATTTCGCCTTATAATCGGGCTCATCGAAGCACGGAAAGGCGAGACGCGCCGACGCCGGTTCAAATTGTGTAACCGCAAGCCATCTGAAAGTGGAAATACGTTTTATATAAGTTCAATCAAATGAAACACCTCATCCCTCTCTCCACATACCTCGTTTCGTTACTGCCACGATCCACATACGAACTGCGATAGTAGCCACGCAAGTTCAAATTCAAAATGCTCGAAAACGGCATGGTGAGTATGTATTCTTCACCCCTACGCAACGGTTCGCACAAGTGCATAATATAGTAGTCATGGTAGGCATTCACCTCGGTGCCACGCACACAATTCTTCTGTTCGGTTTCCTTGGCGCGTAGATTACGTAATATTATTTCGTTGCTGTTGATAGTAAGATTCAGCGCGTGTAGCGTGATGTTGCTTGTATCCTCCAATGCTATCAAATGCATTGCAACCTCACCGACAAAGGTAAGATTTTCCGGATTCTCGAGATGTGTGATCACGTGCAGCGTGTATTTTTGTGGTTTGATCGATCTGGGTAGACGAAAATGATTGTAGCTGCTGGCAGCGAGTTGCACTGGTGTTGGCACTGCTGGCTTTTCCGGCACCAATTCCGCATTGTTTGTGTCGGCGAAGGCGGGTACTGAGCAAGCAATAGCCATAAAGACCAAAGTGGCGGAGAGATAACAGCGCAGAGATGTCATTCTGAAAGTGCGTTTGCTAAAAAATATACATAATTACTTTCGTAAATCAACTGCTCTTCACTATTTGTATACAAAATAAATTTTGTTAAATAAATGAACTTCATTCGATATATGTATGATTTTATACCCTGCGTAGAGTTCTCTATTGTTCGAAACAAAGAACGTGCTACAGTTGCGCGACGACTACAAATATACCTACTTACGTAAATTCAAATGCGTCAGTAACTGGAAGATCTGGAGTCAAAAATAAGCAGCATTATGACAATAATATATATAATGCCAACCAGGCAAAAACCAACCAAAAAAAAAAAATTTAAAAAATCCCAATGGTAGCTTCGAGTATCGAAGTGTAGTATTATGGGGTGCACTCAAGGCACATTAAACAGGTAGTATCAGTAGAGCAAAAACAACATTTGCGTGTATTTTGTTGTTGCTTCTGGTATCGAAAGTGTCAAAAACTGTTCTGAATTTTTTCTTCTAAATCAAAGCGTGCCATGTGAAATACAAAAAAATTATAAAAAATAAAAAATTTAAATTGGAAAAAATTAAAATTGATCCAACTTTCTTTCCTAGTAAATTTGTTTGCTTCTCGAAGCATTGATCCATCCTTTGCAAGGCCCAGTAATCAGCGGTCGTGCTGCCGAGTTGGGCGAACGTTCCAAAAGCTGCTACTCAATCGCTTGTTTTGTATGGGAAAAGGTTTCACATGCAAATGGATTTTAACAATTCAGAATTTTTGTGAGAAAAAATTAAAAATATTTGACATTTTCGAGACCAAATAATTTGAAAATAAATCAAATCAGCTGCTCTACTGATACTACCTGTTCAATGTACCTTGGGTGCACTCTACAAAAATTTGAGTTATGATTTTTTTTTACACCGAAGTTGAGTTAAATGAGCACATTACATATTTACAAATTTTTAATTTTTTTTTCGAATTTTTTCGAGTATGCAGTTTTGTAGCCCATTAAATTCTAGTATAATAAAGTGCAAGTTTTAAGCGATTGCAAAGCTGACGTAATTTTTTTTTTTTTAATTTTCTTTGAAAACGGTTTTGCGCATTTCCTTCCATAAGAAAAAAGTGCAAAAAGCCGTCAGCATAAAAAAATTACAAATCAACGCAATTTTGCAGTAGCTTAAATCTTGCACTTTATTATACTCAAAAAAACTCCAGAAAAAAATTAAAAAACTTTAAATTTCGGTGTAAAAAAAACCATAACTCAAATTATTCTAGAGCGCACCCCATAATACTACACTTAAATATTGCGCAATGCTCAGAGCTACCATTGTGATTTTTTTTTAATTTTTTTCGAGATGGCATATTTTCAAAAACTAAATTTTTTTTCAAAAAAATTTGTATGTGAAAAATTTTTCAAGAAAAAAAATTTTAAAATATTTCTTTTCGTAGAGAATTTTGATGTATGTATGTGTGATTTTTTTGAAATTTTTTCTTCGCCCCGTTCTCGAGATATTTGGAAAACTATTATTTATGCAATAAAAAATTTTAGTTAGTTGCGACTTTTTGTATTTCAATGACGATATGAGGCGTACCCCTTTCCATACTATAGTAACGATATTTAAATTCAAAACTCTAAAGCCATTTTTTTAAGCCCCAAGCCTTGCTTTTTTGAGTTATGACACTATTGAAGCAAATGAGCGATACATATGTATACGTTTTGTATTAAAATTTTTTGTTTGTTTGTTTTCGTTTGTTTAAAAAATTACCAAATCTGGTTCTGACTTCCCGCAGTTTCATGCGTAAATTAGTATTAGCATATGCATGTATTTATGTATGTAAAAATACACCGAATGTCCAAAACAACGAAAGTGATTTAATTTTAATAAATAAAATGTTCGTTTCTAAATTAGCGACTGTAAATTAGATAGTGAAAGGAGAAATCGAAATTTCATGACCCATTTTAAAAGTCAATAAAAAAAAAATTATCTTATTGAAAAAATTGTGTATATGCAAAAGTTTATACACAACTCCGCGGCTTTAGTTAGTAGGCAAACTATACAAGATAAACATATGTACACNTTATCTTATTGAAAAAATTGTGTGAGCATGCAAAAGTTAATACACAACTCCGCGGCTTTAGTTAGTAGGCAAACTATACAACATATATACACATAGTATTGCAAATAAAAACAAATGCGAATAAGATTAAAGTAAGTGCAAAGCTGTTAAGTATATTAGAATTCAATAAAACCAAGGAAATGCTGTGATATTGGCAAATGGCAGTAATTTAGAATAATTTGCAAGTTGCAAAGCCTTTTACAAATTGTGGTAATCAATTTATATTGAGTGTTGGCAAGGGCTAATGGCTGACTTTAGAGCCTGCAGAGTGGGAATACCCATACTATGGATTCTATACATACACATCTAATACATATGTACATACATATGTATATAAATATATTGCATTTTAGATGAGATGTTAAGTGTATAAATCTATTCAAGTGTACATACACTAGGCGGCAAATGAAAGTGTACACCTGGTTCTAATATAATATTCACAATTATTTTAATGCATTTTATTTGCATTAATTACACAGGTCCACAAAAAAAAATCGATGAAAGGTTCCTTTGACCAAAGCTAGTCTATGAAATGTTTTTGGGCTCGCTAAACACGAATCTGAAGTCCGTTTTGGTCCATCACGTCTAGATCACGTAAAATCCGAGATGTTTTTTGAGGTTAGAAAAAAAACAAGACATGATGGAGCAAAACGCACTTCAGATTCGTGTTCAGCGACCCCAAAAACATATAACAGACTAGGTTTGGTCAAAGGAACCTTTCATCGTTTTTTTTTTTGTGTACCTGTGTTTTCTATGAAAATATCATTCTATAATATAAACCATTTAAATCAAAGTTTCACACTTTATAGAAAGTTCACAAAAATTCAAAATATTTGTATCGAAATGTTCAACTTCTTATTCAGAATTTGCATAAACTTTCGAGTATGCAGTTATGTAGGTCATTCAATTGCAAGTTTCAAACGGCTGACAATTTCCGTTGACTTTTGAGATTTTTTTTGTGTGACGGAGTTTTGCATTTTTTTTTCAGATAAGCATTAATTCTTATGAAATAAAATGCGGGAGACCGTTAAAAATATAATTTTAAAATATTAAATTGCACTTGTCGAATAAATCAATTTTTTAGTCGGTTTAAACTTGCACTGCATTAGAATAAAATTGAATGGGTTATAAAACTGCGTAATCGAAAATTTTCTAGAAATCCTTAATAAAAGTTGAAAGTTTTTTGACAATTTTTATGTTCTTTTTATAAAGTGTGAAACTTTGATTTGTGTATATGGATTATATTATAGAATAATAGTCATGGAAGCTGTTATGCTCCGCAGATGAAAAGTGAGGTGGAAACTATTTATAATTGGGACTACCTGGCGGCCTACTGGGTTGGGGATAAACCCAGGACATATGTATTCAAGGAAATGATGAAGCATTCCACTGGAATATTAATGGAACACTAAACCGCTGGCCATATGACCGCAAGTGTGGGGACCATATAAAGATTCCTGATGGAGCTGCAGGGAAGGGAAGGGGTATAACCAATTCAGCACTTCCTGTGCGAATGCTATCACGCTGAAGAGCTTAAACAGATTGTGGAAAATTTCATTAAGCGATCGAATGATTTAAAGATATGTTGGGACACGGAAATTTTTTCCTGAGCATCACAATGGCGGCTTAACTAAGAGCAGTCCGTCAAACCAGTGCTAACCTCGACGCATACCAATGCGCATACATAAATGCATACATACATATAATACTAGATTAGCTCGGTTAGCCGACAAAAGAACAAAATAATAATTAGAACAAAAATATGTATATTAAAAACAAAAAAGATCTACTAACAAAATTTTGCCGTCTTGAACGAATAAGAGCCTCGGATTGGTCATTCATAAAAAAAAAAAATAATCAGTAGGAACAATGACTCTGTCAGAGTTGCCAGTTCGAAGATTGGTGAAATCATTTCGAATGCATGTCACGCATCGAGGTCTGGGCCAATGAAACCATTTACGGTTTACGCTGCGGCACTACCTGCTTTGCAAGGTGTAAACGTTTTCGCTGATTAATTTCTTGACTTTTATACAAAACACATACACGTACGTACATTCATAAGTAAATACGAAAACATAAATTAGCTAAATTTTTTTGTTTAGTTTTCCGACAATTTCTGACGTTTTGTTTTACATTTTGTTTAGCTTGTCGAATGAACTTTTTTTTTTGTTGTAATATGTACAAGTTTTTTTGTTTACATTATTACCCTTTTTGCACGCGTTCAATGAAACTTTAGTGCCGTTGGCTATGCATACGAAATTTGTTTTACTCAAAGCTACACAGCAAATTGTTTGAATCAATTCACGTAAACAAATTATAAGAAAAAAAAAATACCGTAAACGTGTACACAAAAATTGAAAAAGGAAGCTAATTAACCTGTTCGCGTTTTCCAAAAATACCAACAAAAAGTTGTTTACTCCATAAATAAAAGAGAGCAAATCTATTTTGAATTGGTGATTTTTTCTTTAGATTAACAAAACATTTTGTTTCTATCTGACATTTGTTTTAGACCTATTCTTTAATTTGAACATTGTGGAAATCTTCTTAGTTATCAAAATATATGTTTAAGTTCATAGAGGTCTGTATAATTCAAAATTTGTTAAAAAACAATTAAGTCGCCCAGCCCAGTCAGTGCTGCCGCATTGACAGTTACAAAAGGCTGCCAGCTATTAACTTCTAAATTTATAACCAAAACTAGTAATTTTAACAAACAGTAAAATAATTTAACGCTTTTTTTATTTTATTCGATATTACAAAGTAAATACGTAAAAAATTTTAGCTTTATGTTCTGCCGCTTTAATATTTACGAGCATTTGCTTAAATTTATTAGAGAGATTCTATGCCAATTACTCAATTCCCTTACAATTTAATCAAATAATTTCGAAAATGAAGGTGTAAAATCTTTCCACAAACACGTTTTTTTTTTGTTTTTGGTAATGCGAAAATATACTACTTAAGTATCGCATGTAA